GAATGAGCTGGTCACAACTAAAAAGAAAACCCAGTCTTTGCACCACGCATAAACTGTACACAATTCACCACTTGGGACGAGAAGCAAGCCTGCAATAATACTGTGGAGCAGGACTAAGTTTAAATAGTAAATCCAAGTCCTCACATAAGGTAAAAATATAATTTCGGCACGAAATATTTGCCTGATTCCTTGGTAATAAATGTTTCAAGACCCTAAAATAGTTGAGTATAAAACATATTTTTTTTCAATTTTTCACAAATATTTAGTCCAAACTAGGAAAAATCCAATATTTTACCAGAGGTCCCAAGACTACATGTTTATTGCCATTTAAGGCAATTCCAGCAACACGTTATATTTATAAATATTTCAAACCAACTGGTGCAAATCTCACATGATACAAAGATTAATGGGGATTGGAAATATTTTTGGAGATGGACATTTGCATAGAAATGTATAGAGAGTAAGCACGATTTTTAAATGTGGCTTAAAATCTCCCCATCTTATTCTCATAGGTAAAACACCAAAAAACACCTCTTTGTCCTATTCTATCTATTGGCTTGAGATACAGAAAAACAGTAAATAAACATTTAAGCACACTACATAGGTTTCAACTTTTGATAAAAAACAATAATACAACATAAAAATCAAATACTATTTTAACATTATTTTAAATGAGTACAAATAAATCAAACAGTTATCATGAAAATGTTATAAGTCTATACTTAATTCCATTATTTTAAAAGTCCATTATAAATGTTCTAAATTTGTGATTTAATCACCAGACATCCCTATAACTCAAAAGAATTATATTATTTTATATGAGTACAAATAAATCAAACCGTTTTCATTTGTATGCCAATGCATTGTAATATAATATCAGCATTAGTAAATAAAGGTCTGCTTTATTGTTTACAAATATTCATATCTCAAAAAGGCTTGATATACAACAAAACAGCTAAAATTCCAGCCTACGTACTACATGGCCTTCTACATAAAGCATAAAAAAGTTTAAAAATTTAAAACCATATACCAGTTTCTTTTGTATGTAAATGTGTTATAATATAATTTCAGCAATAGCAATGGTTTCAAACTCCAGGTGTTACCAGCACGGCACTGTCGGAGGCATGACGATGTTCAAAGTGATGCACCTCCTATCACTTACATGTTTGTCTAGCTTCTAATAAAAATATTTATAGCATGAAATTTATGTATTAAAATTCTACATGAACTACTGTTAAATACAATATAAATATAATTTAATTTGTGCCAGTGTGTAATTATTAATTATGGAAAATATAAAAAGGTTACTTTGAGTAAACATGAAAAAGTAAGTAAGCGAGGATTTTTTTTATTTTTCAGTCAGAGAAAAACTTTCAGTGGAAGAAGTATAGATGATTAGATGTTCCTCAATTTTTGTTTCAAACATTTTTTCATAAGACTTTTAGTTTGTCATCGCTGGGGATCAGAAGTATGCCTATGGGTTGGGAGCGCGTCCGAGTTCACGTGCCGAGAGCCGGGTTTTTAAAAAAAGTGGCCAAAAAAAGCTCTTCATTTCCAGACATGTTTTTCAGTATTAATAACATTTTTTTACCAAAAAAGTGGCCCCATATAGCCTCTAAAACGCCAAAAATGGGGTAAAATCATCATATTATAGCTATTTGGGGTGTTTTTTCGCCAAAAAATTTCAAAAGTCCTAGGTCCAAAAACGCCGAAAGTGGGGTCATATTCTGGGTTTACCACTACTCCTGGATAAATTGATATACTAAAAAGAAAACTGAATTAACACTGTACTGAATTTCTTAGTAATCATTGAAAGAGACGATTTGCAAACTATGGAAATATAGGAAAGTCATAGAACACCACCAAGGGGAAGAAATAGAAATAATGTGTGTTATAAACACTAAAAAACAAAATCAGCTTTTGAAATATGATAAGATATTTGCAAGAAATTTTGATTATATCGATCTGTTATGTACATCTTTAGTATTCCATAATCTTTGAGTCGAATCTTTTATAGTCATAAAAAATATGACTGTTATTCGTTTTAAAATAATGCCTGTAATACTTAGCAATAATTGCTCGATTTCGAGCAACAGGGACACTAGTACTTATTTAATACGCAAGCAGGTTTTTTTGTGACAATTACTCCTCCGAAACTACTGAACCAATTGACATGTTTTTGGTGTCACTGGAAAGAGCGTAACGTGAAGTTGTGCAGGAAACTTTTTTTCTAAGGAAATAATTAGAGAGTGAGGCCCTGGGGCCCTTTAAAGTTTCGTATTTATCCATAAGATTAACATGGAAAACAAAATTTGTTATGGAACTCCAGCTGTTGTCAGAAATTAAGAGTGAAATATTTATTAATGGTATCCATGGTAACAAAGAACAAACCCACAAAATTAAAAAATGTAAACAAACAGAACTAACTGTCAAATTAATTTTGATTTCAACACAGCTGGTTCAAACATATTAAATACTGCATGATTATTAGAACAGGAACGGTAGGGATCATAAACAATTATCAAATATGTCACTCGCCCGAATCATTTTTGTCTATGCCCGAATGTTAACATTTAACATTGATTAAATGGAACTGTCAAACTATATGTTAATGCCATTAGTATGGAATTCTTTCAACATCATTTGTTGATCGAGTTAGTTTCAATATTTTTGAACTGCTGTAATAATATTTTACAGGAAATAATTGTTAGATAAATTCATGGTATAAGTAATTCAGATTCTTCAATCTTTGCTGTTATTAAAATTGTGTTTCCGCAGCAAACCTTCAGACTAAGCGAATTTCCATTTACCTGGCTTAATTAATACTAGGGTTGCTTTCAGAGAGGTGAAAACCAGTTGAGCGGAACAAACGTGATTTGAGATTAAATATCGATTTCGATGCGGTTCGATATATCGCTTATTAAATTCTGATTTCTAACATTGGCTGTTTCTAATCAGCTGGCAACACATATAGGTTCCCAAGAAAGTAGTCACCGGTCAGTATCCCTCCGCTCCTTGTTTATGCTCCGCGTATTGAGAAAGTAGTGAGAAAGTTTTCTCGATTTGCAGTGAATTCCGCGCCTTAAAAAAATGTTTTAACGGTATTTTATGGTTCATTAAGATCATAGGAATGGCTTAAAAACGTTTAAAAGAAAAGTCTAGAAGGTTCAGAAATACCTTATGGGTATCTTGTTTACATTTTTCTTGTAAACAAAAAACCTGTCATGGCTACTTTAGTCCCATAAGCCTAATGTTAAAAATTGGAAATTTTAAGTTCGTTTTAAATTGCATTAGCAATATCTAATTGAAATTTGTTTGTTTAAAAACCATCTCACTATTAGTCTAAGTAATTTTGTTAAGTTTTACTAAAATGCGTTCAGCCGTTATTGAGTGATGTTTCTCTATTTGTTGCATTGAAGTTGATCCCAAAGAGCTTCGCTCGCTCCGCTCAACAAAGGTTAGTTATTCCCTTAAAATGGTCATTTTTTCCTATCTAAATAATATTAAGTTAATTTTAATATGAGTACTAAGGTTTGCTGCTACAGGGAAGGTAGGTGTGATTTTGTTGAAATGTTGATAGCTAAGTATGATTGTTATTGCTTTGCAAATCCTGTAATACTTTACAATTGCTCGAATTCGAGCAACATGTACACTAGTTAATATTAAAAACCTGTTTGATTAGTTAGGGTTACAGATAAATTAAGATAGGCTACTTAATAATACAACGTTTACTATTAAATTAAAACTGAAAAAAAAGAAAATATATCTGGCCATGGGGTAAAAGTCCGGGGGTATAATTCCGGCCCGTACACTCTAGGTTTTTATAATTTGATGCGTTCTGATTAAATTCACAACCGTAAAAATATGCGTTTAGTTTCACCTTTAATCCATCAAACTGATGTTGTGCAACTCGAAAGTTCGCGGCCGGAATTTTACCACCTGGTTTGTGACGTCAGTTTTGCCCAGGGGTAAAATTCCAGGGGGATAAAAATCCGCTACACCGATTCGTTCACTTCGTTCACTCATCTATCAACAGATAAACTTTTATTTAACTAAAGTGTGAGTTAAGTAAACGAGGACTCCAATGTATGAATCTTAGTACTATTAGTTTTAATCTAATAGAGAAGACTTATACTTCTATACAATTTACTGAGGCGATGGGATGGTAGAAAATGAGTGATATGAATTCGAACGGACCAATCAGAGGTACTCTTTGTTGACCTCTGGGCGAGCTGGTCTAGTGGAAGAGTGTGGATCTTCGGAGCCCCAGGTCTCAGGTTCAAATCCCGCCAATCACCAATCGACTTTATACATATGGTAATGCCGCAACCCTCTAGAACTACCCTGAGAAGATGTGAAATAGTTCTGGGCTAGAACCTAGCGTTTTTGGATGTGAAGGTGGACATATCTACCACCAATATTCCCACTTTAGTGTAGCAAGAATCCCTAATAGTGTAGCATATTGTTGGAAAGCTTATAAAATGACGCAGTTTTTAACATATTCCAACACTTTCTTGTATACAGGGTGGGAAAAATGCAATAGACCATTGTTTTTTTTAAATTATTATCAAACATCTTAATTTTTATCTTTGAATCTATTTACAATGGAGTTTTTTCAACTGATCCTCCATCATTTATCCATTATTCTTGTTCAAAATTTAATGTAGAACACGAAAATGACATTATCTACTCAAATCCATATACAGGTAATTGAGAAATCGCTGTACTAAGTTTAAAAGCATGGTTATTTTTTTAAAACATGAAATAATTTTTTGGGAAGCTAATTTTTAGACTTGGAACATTTGATATGCATCATCACACTTCATTTACTTTGTACTTACACCAAAAATGTTGGTCACACTGAGTACCAATCACCCTGTATAGATAGCAGTAATGAGCTGATGGAGTAATTCATAAACAATTTGGTCTCTATTCATAAGTTTGTATCTTAGTAAAACCAGTAGGTCTGAAACATTAGCTTTCAAGTAGCGTTAACTTACCCTTGAATGAAGGGTTTTTATCCAGCAAGACCCCTTCCTGAAAAAAAAACATATAGCATTGTATGAGAGATACGGTAGGTCACGCAGTGAAGGTCTTTAAATAAACCTACCTGAGTAAGCCTACAACCTTTAGCTCGCTTGATGTACAGTACGTGTGTGACCATGGTCGTAAAACTTTATATACATGTGTTTCGTGAACTGTGTTAATATGTTTTGTAAATTGTGACAACCACTTCTGTGGGCAATGTTGAGACCTGTGACAGCGACTGAAGATGCAAACGCGTCTCGCAGGAGATAAGAATTTTGGACACCTTAGGCTACCAAAAAGGTAAAAATATTGATTTTAAATAAACATTGTTCATCGGTGTTTTACTGTTATACGAGTATGTTAGTAAAAAAACTAAACCCAGAGAAAGGTTTTACTTACGATTGACTTAAGAACAGGTATAGCATAACAATATTGAAATTATCAAGGTTAGGACCATTACTGTATATTGTAATGGTCAGTATGTGCATTAGTCAGTATTTATATATTTAATTACGTTAGCCGATTCTTTGCGTCAGAATTGTGGGAAGTCGTAGAACGACGAAAAAGATTTTAAATTAAAGGTCCCTATCCCGTAATGGCGAGAAAAATAGTGAAATTCCAAAATTTTTAACACAAAATAAGATATACGTAATTGGACTTAGAATGGCTGAAAAATAATGAAGTTTCAAATATTTTAACGGAAAATTTAATAAAGAGTATAATAATTTTAATAATTTACCTGATTAAAACACTTTGTTTTTTATTTTAAAACATATGTTCGCGAAGTTAACAATAGTTACTTGTGTAACTAGTGAGCAAAGTGCAGCAAAAGCCTTTTGCACTCGTGTTACACATTATATTTTTCCTACAGTCACTATAAAGCATATAAATAATTAGTCTTTCAAACACTATACAGCACGTTTTTAGGTTCAGCTGCAACACAAATAGGTGCCCTAGAGAAAGTAGTCCCCGGTCCGAATCGCTCCGCTATTTTTTCCTCGGCAAGCAATGAGCTCCGCAACTTGAGAAAATAGTACCGAATATTTTTGTAATTTGCAGTGGTTTCCGCGCCTTAAAAAATGCTTTAAAGGTATTTTCTTGTGTATTAAGATCGTAAGAATGTTTTAAAAACGATTAAAAGAAAAGTCCAGAAAGTTCAGAAATTCTGAAAAGAGAACATAAACTATAAACACGAAATGACAGGTTAAATCGTAGTTATAATAGTCAATCAGCTGCTCATAGTATTATTATCTTTAAGTGTTGCCAACCTATTTCCAAGCGTACACGGATTACGTGCATAATAGAACCACGCTTATTTGTGTTGTTTCGTTGGAATCCTGATGTGCGCCAAAGCATAAACCGTACGACAAAGTATAAACCGTACGACAAAGTATAAACCGTATGACAAAGTATAAACCGTACGACAAAGTATAAATATGCAGCAATTAGCGGCTTTCTGTACTATAAACAGTACAAGAAAGCCAACTTTGTCGGGCGACAGTAGGAAAAATTATTTTACTTTTTTACATTACTTCACATTTAAAGGTTATTGTTGTGTTGAAGGAATGTTAAACAAAATAACCACACTGACTAAATAATCAACGTTTCAAAATTAAATGGAACCCGTCTGCTTTGTTTTTATTTCAAAAGATATGTTGGCGATGAATTCTAAACCTTTTTGTAACATTTAACTTGACGCTTATTGTAGTGTTTAATTAATTGGTTAATTTTGTATGAAGTGGAATAACCGTAATGGCTACTCTAAGAAAATAACCTGGGAATAAAGATGAAATAGGTTCGTACAGGCAATAATGTTTTACTAAGTAATTAATATGACACGTTCCAATGGGCGGAAAAATAATACTGTCTGGAGGAGAGTATAATCAGGTGAGGAACTGCCTGTTGTTCTAAGGGAAAAAGTTTGAAATAATATAGCCTAGCATGAATAGTATAGATTGCAAAGGGAGCATCTATATATAACAGTAAACCTAGAGTTAGTTTCCATTTCTTTAATATGCATGTCAATGCTGATGAAAAGTAATTTCGTGATTTGTTTCGATGACTGGGTAATGGAACCCCCACCAGTGACAAAATATTTAAGCCAATCAAACAAAATGATAACTAAAAATAGGCTTTACATTCGTCATACCAGCTCAAATGGTGTAACTACGTGTGTTACGGCCGTTTCGGCAATACGACAGTCGGCACCTTGCTCGGAACGGGAACATGTCAACATGTTGCATTTAGTACGACAGGCTGATAGTTTTTGTGAAATGTGTAAATTTAATTCGTATTGCTCTTGAGTGTTATGTGTTTTAACATAGATAAAACAGGGACTATGTATTATGTATGGTTTTAACTTCAACGACGCTACTTCAGCCGAGATTTCGATGTCTGACGATGGCATTGTAATGCCAAAACAGCCGTAACCAACGTAGTTACATAATTTGAGCAGGATTGACGGATAAAGCCTATGTTTGGTTACGATACAGCTCAAAGGCCAAACATGGATTTTAATTCCAAATAATAATGTATCCATTAAATGAAAAATGTATACTATTCACAATTACATAAAAAAAGCGGACGAATAAGCAAATGAATAACTCAGTGTGGTCTTAACTGTGAATCCGATGAACGTTTAAATATGCCTATTTTGATAGAATATGTAAATTCAAACGCATTTTTAGGAGTAATACCACCACATAATTTTAAACTAAGTGTAGTTTCTATTTTTATGTTGATCAGAAACAAATCCAGGATTAAATTTGGTCAATAGGATACCTTTTCATTAATTTACAAAAGGAGTTTACCGAGAACTACTGGACTGTAAGCTTATCTCAACACACCTTTTTACTATGCCTTTTCAAATTTCACCAAGATGGTTTCCGAAATTCCTTACAGGTAAGCTTTTTTTGTTATCTTTTAAAATTAGACAAAAAATAACTTAGTAAACCAGTATTTTATTCACAAACAATTATATGTTTGCTGCCTTCAACACTTAAGACTTAGGAGAGGAACCTCTGATTCAAATTATTTATTGAAAATAACATTAACAAAGCAAACAAAGAGACTGTTTTCACACAAAAGATAAGGTGTACAGTATTCATCATAACACATACATAATTTGATACTGAGCTTGTCAAATATTACAATATTTGTTTAACATTTGAGCTTTTTAGGGACTTATGTTCCTAAAAGCCAATAGTGCAAATTTAATGTCATAAAGGTGTTAATATAATTTAGTGTGATCAATGTATTTTCCTAGTAAAAAAGGTAAACTTACCTGCTAAACCTGGTAAACTTATCTGATGAATAGCTATTGGAAAGTATAAGTGTCACTTTCGATGGCAAGCATTGACTAGTAACAAGGACTAAGAGTATTTTGAAGCCATCTAATACTTTTTTACAAAGTGTGATTAAGTAACTATCCGTCTGTAAAGCTTGTTTGATGTAACGAACACATCAGAGTACTAAGTATGGCTTATGAATTTATAGCCTTTTTAACATAATTCAAAGAGGTGAATATGGAGTTCCATAACTATTTTACAAAAAGTACTCAAATTATGTTGAATTTAAAATGGTCGTGGTTCGAAAACAAACATGGCTCTGAATCAGCTCTACATAGTTAAGTAAAGTTTTTGACCCTTCTTTAAAGGATTTCTTAAGAATGCATGTATTTTAAAGTCTACAAGAAGGACCTGAAATAGTTATTTGTGTAACTAGTGTGCAAAGTGGCACTTTGCTGCACACTAGAGAAATGTTTACGCATGAGCTTCCTAACTAAAGCTGTAACTGTATTGTAGGAAAGAAAAAAAATTATATTTGTAAAATAATACTATATTATTCTTAATGGTAAAATAAAGTTTGTTGGAACCTATCGAAAATTTAAACAAAAAATAAATTTTTAAATGGTTATTTCTCATATTTTTACTCTAAATATTATAGCTCTAGGATAAATTAAATTGTCAAAATACCGTTATGATTTTCTATGTAATGTAATATCCTAAGATTCTAGGTCATTTTGCAATATTAAGGTACTTAATGTTATTAGCGTACCTTGATTGATTCAAACCCTCCTGGGTTGGCAGCATATTTCAAGAATACCAGGTTCGATTTCGGACACTTCTCTACACAAATATCGTACTGGCACCACTTGTCAGTGTCAACTCTACTTCTAAAAGACAAAATGTTCTCTGACCCGTCTTTGAATGTGAACATGTACACTTTTTCATGTAAAGGGCGATTAGATTCAGGAGCGCAGTCGAAATCATCGAATGCGGCTAAAAATACAATGTTATCCTCAAAAGGCAGTTTTTCACGGTATCGATTTTCGGCATTACTTTCTTTCCGTTCTGCTATCGTCAATATGTATTTGGCGTCTTTATCATTTTTACGATAGCATTGAAGTATAAACGTTTGTAGTTCTTCCTCCTTTTCTTTCTTGACATCAACTGAGTATGTAGATACAAGGGTTTTACTAATTGTTTCTACTTTTAGAGAGCTTGTAATTATGTTGGCCCCTAGAAATATATTCGTAAATGAATTATTAGTTTCTAAAAATAAAAGTGCTTAGTCGCTTTACTACCATCAGTGATACAGTAATAATATTAACTAGGTGAAACCCGTCAAAATCGACGGTTACTTTCAAGGCTAATTTAAAATTTCTTAAGGTTACTAATTCATCTAACTGCGATAAATTGAGTGAAATCTTACTAATTTTATAAATGTGAATGTTAGTGTGTTTGTTTGTTTGTTTGTTTGTGTGTTTGAAGTTCAATCACGCATAAACCACTGGACAGATTGGGCTGAAATTGGACATGACGATAGCATACATTCCCGATTAACAGATAGGCATATTCTTATCTAAAAAATTCTTTCGGGCTCCACCCCAGTGGCTCTGTTAACCTTATGAGTATTCATATTTAAAGGGAATTAAAGAATTTAGTCAGCTGTTTCAACTAAAAAAAGTTGGTTCTATGATATGGAAAAGCATTAAAAAGTTATAAGATTTACCAACAAGGTGCAGCACTATATTTTTTTGCATTTGTAAAACAGCTAATTTGAACTAAGCATTAACAAAAAACTGTGATTCGCAATGAGAACTGTCAAAGTAGGATTGTTTACAGTTATGTTTATGTTTTTCATTTCATGAATAATTTGTGATATTTTGCGAATTGTTGATAATTTATTTTTCTCTATTGTTTAGGTGAAGTGGTAGAACATTATGGCTATGGTAGATGTGTAATACTATAGAATACTGTAAATTTAAATAAGTTAATGATTGTATGATTATTATGTAAATACCACGAGTTGTATTATGCCGTTGGGAAATAAAATATTTTTATTTTTCTATCTATAATATTAAAACGTAACAGGGTTTTTTTATTTCACGATTCTGAATCAACCACTCGACGGATTTTCATGATTTTTGTGTTGAAAGAAAGATAATTTTGAGAACTAGGTAATGTCGAAGCCATAATTTTAGTTTAGGGTCCCAGTTATTTTGAAATTAGATTTTAATTTTTTATTTAATTATAAGTCTAGCAGCCGACGCTAGAATTCTAATCTAGCTTTTGGTATAATATAATTTGCTTAACATAACAGCTGTAAACAGTCAGCGTTTGTAACACAAATTCAGAACTTGGATCAAATTAAAAGACATACTAAGGGTTGACTTATTTATACTAAGTGTAATGCTAATCATTGATACGTCCAATCCTTCGATAAGAGGATGACGGATTATTTAAATAGGTATACATAGTAAAATACTAGGATGTTCAAATAATTTTTTGTAAGTAATCTTTGTAATCTTCGGATTGTTTAAGTGCAATGTAATTTGTAACTAACAGCTGGTTAATTATAAAAATGCCCTATAGAACTATGAGGTTATTTACTCAGATTTTGTCATTGATAGGAAATAAGTAAGATTAGTAGACCACTAAGATAAGTAACACTATCGATGTGTACAAGTCGAGGCTCTGTACACGAGTAAAAAAAAAGTAATATGCAAATTATTTTACCCCTCAACTTTTATGGAAAGGGTAGGAAAATCACAATTTTTACATGTTTTAATTAATCTTGGCAGCTTTTTGTTTACAATCAATGTTTTTGAATGCTTGAACTTTGTTTGGATTAGGCCGGAAATATAGATGTCATAAAGATGGAGATCAAGAATCCTCAGGAATACGATTTTAAATTACCACCACAACCTCAAACGGGTTTTATTTAAAGATATACAGATGAATGACATAGATTGAACACAACGTCATCATTGACCTAGGATACTGCAATTAGACTAACCATCCTTTTATGAAATCTAAAAAGTTATTTGGAGTGTGTTTAGTTGTGGTTACGTTTGTAGGCGCTGAATATTTTATGGTTTAAATAAATGAATATGGGGAATTACGATGGACATTGATTCAATGAGGGTGGTTTGATTATCAATAGACAATTAATTACGTCACTAGCTTTACTAGCGTTTTTACTTTATAAATTCCTTCAACATGTGACCAGTTCTTTTGTCGAAATGAATATTATTTTATTTTTGACTCAGCTGTTTACAAAACAAACTAATATGTTGTTGTGTTTACTTTTCTTTGTTTACACTTATTTATTTAGCAATTGATGCAGTGAAATTGACATAAAAGATGTCTGTGGACGATTCGTTTAATGATGTCAGGACACCAACGTTATAATTATATGTACTGTGAATTTTATTGGATGTTTTCGTTTTATTTCAGTTTCAATTCAGACCTACTGGAAATTGTGTATAGTATGAGCAATTGTATTGTGATGATATTGATTATGGAAGAGACAGGTATGCGATGGAAGGTGATATCATTGACTAGGCCTATACACTTCTCAATTGATAATTACTGTTTTTACTGTAGGCTGCAATAAAATTTGTCTTTATACGTGTAAACTAGCTGTTCTGAATTATAGGCCTACGCAGTTTTAACTGACTACACGTAAGACGTACGTAAGACGGGCTAACACCTCGTTTCATTTCATTTCATTTCACATTACTGCTATCAGTGAAACAGTACTACTATCAGTGAAACAGTAATACCATAAGTGATACAATACTAGTGATAAAGTAATACTATCAGTGATACAGTACTTCTATCAGTTATATGGTACTTAATACTATCAGTTATACGGTAATACTATCAGTGATACAGTAATACTATTAGTTATACAGTAATACTATCAGTTATAAAGTAATACTATCAGTTACAGTAATACTGTCAGTTATACAGTATATAAATAAGTATTCAGGGTGAGTTTTAATTGTCCCCCCCAACTTTTTTCTACATTTTTTCAAATATCAATCCCAGACCACTTCCAAACATTGTTGGGTAGTAAGTACTTCATTTTGACAAGGTGGTCATTTCCGGCCGCCATCTTGGATCCGCCATATTGGATGCAAAATATTTTTTTCAAATGTAAAGGTGGGGTTGTGACCCATTATTTCGAACTAGAGTTTTACCCTGATTACAATACAGCAAACAGTTTTTAAAAATCTCGATTCATTCTAAAGTTATGAGGCCTTTTTAAAACTTTATTTTTAGCCCATTTTAACATTGTGCTTGTACAAACTAAGACCATAATCTCAAAATAGTGCTAGATAAAGATAAGTATACACTACCAGTCATTGCCAACCTATTTCTACTTGATTATGAATGATGTATTTTTTTCGGCCGCCATCTTGTACTTTTGTCTGATACTTTTTTAAGCTGAACTCAATTCCATGGTCCATTTTTATTTCATATTTTGATTTTGAAATATTAACATTTTTAACAAAAATATCGCAATGTTTCATAAATAAAACTTCATAACAAAAAATGGATTAAGGCATTGAGTTTAGCTTAAAAAAGTAGTTCAAAATGATGGGTCACAACACACCCTTCATATTTAAAATAATTTATCCCATTTCAAAATGGCGGATCCAAGATGGCGGCCGAAAAAAATACATCAGTCATAAATAAGTGAAAATAGGTTTACAATAACTGGTAGTGTATACTTATCTTTATCTAGCACTATTTTGAGATTATGGTCTTAGTTTGTAAATGCACGATGTTAAAATGGGCTGAAAATAAAGTTTTAAAAAGGCCTCATAACTTGAGAATGAATCAAGATTTTTAAAAACGGTTTGTGGTATTGTAATCAGGGTAAAAATCTAGTTCGAAATATTGTGTCCCAACCCCACCTTTACATTTGAAAAAAATATTTTGCATCCAATATGGCGATCCAAGATGGCGCTTAGAAATCACCACCTTGTCAAAATGAAGTACTTACTACCCAACAATGTTTGGAAGTGGTCTGGGATTGATATTTGAAAAATGTAGAAAAAAGTTTGGGGGGGGGGACAATTTAAACTCACCCTGTATACACGATTAGTATATACACTATTCCGTCGTGTCCGCCGTGCTACCTGCGTCAGTGTGTCCCTTATAAATGTGGCCAGCTACCACCATTAAATGTCTTTTGTGTTAAAAATGTGTAAACTTTATGTGTCGTCGTGTTGTATCTCATAACGAAGACTTCTGTTGGATTTATGGAAGAACCAATTTGATGACATAAGTTTGAAAACGGGTCATTTCTGACCCGAAACTAGTCACCCTTGAATATTTTAAGGACTGGAGACGGAATAAAAATGTACGTAATATATACGTAAAAAGGTACGTAATAATATGGTTTGATTGTCAAAATATACACTCACGTAAACGTGTGATTACTTGAAACCTCTACCTTTATTTTTGTCTGTTTGAAAAAAATAGTCCTATATTATAAGCTATCGTAGTGTGGCAGTAAAATAAACTAGTGTACCTGTTACTCGAATTCGAGCAATTGAGAAGTATTACAAACGTATAAAGTATTGAACGTATGAAGTATTTAAAACGAATGACAGTCATAATTTCTGATGACTTTAAAAGAGTCGACTCAAGGGTTATGGAAATACTCACGATTTACATAACAGTTCGATATAATCATAGTTTCTTGCAAATATCTTATCATTTTTCAAAAGCTGGTCTTGTTTTTTAGTGTTTTCTAAAAATGTTTCCCACTCATAGCTGCATTAGGTTGTCCATAATAACGAGTATAAATGTAAATAAAAAAACATTTCTATTTCTTCTACTTGATGGTGTTCTATGACTTTCCTATGTTCCCATAGTTTGCAAATCGGCTCAAGAAATGCAGCGTGTTAATTCATTTTTCTTTTTAGAATATCAAATTGTCAAAGCTTTCTCGATATTAACAGCAATCAAATTATCCATCTGATCATAATGTAAACAAATATGTACTTCATAAGGATAACATGGGAACTTTAAAAGCCACTGGGGCAGAGCCCATGGGACTTTTTCAACCATGTAGGTTCAGTTTGCAAATCTACATCTACACACCTATACAAACATTTTGGTATACTGTATAATATGTGGGGTTTAATCTTAAAACAAATAAGTCTTATTGTTTACAAAGTTTCATGTAGCGTTTTAATGATATGGATTAAGTAGACACAGATCCCGAACTAAAACTGTTAAGTACGTAGTATATGGTAATATACAGTTTGCAAAACTACAATTTCGCATGTATGAAGTATCTAGTTTTCGGAACTTACGTGAAACGCTGGGACACTCTGCTTGAGAGCCCTGAAAATGTTATAGTTTGAATTAAATTGGTAATGGACATATAATAAAAGAAAACAATTTGTATTTAGTTAATACTCTGTAACGTTATTTGAAACATTTGGTATTCTATTATTATTTTAAAACTGAAAGAAATTGCATGTGCATAATTTTAAATTGAGCTTAGTGACTGTTAACTTAGTTCTTCTTTAACTTCTTCTTTAACTAAGTTCTTCTTTAACTATGCGAAATTAATTGACAATTAATTAAATTAATTAAATTAAATTAATTGATTTAATTGACAGGTAAAGCTCTCCCAAAACACTTAATGCTTTTTACCATGCGGTTGGCATTCTGGGTTATAGTAGTATGTTTTCTGTGCTTTCAGCCACCAATTAACGTATGTAAAACAGCTAAAACCATCATAGTGTGGTGAAAAAATCATTTTTCCTACGGTTACCTAACAATGTACATGTTCTCTCACTGATTTGAGAAAGCAAAGTGGCCAATTCGCTCATCAGTGAGACAGTTAACATTGTCTCACTCCAGATTTGCAACGTGAAGGCACGAAATAGTGAGCGCGTAACATGCAGGCAACGTCGTATGCGCGCGAAATACGTTTGGCAGCACTGGCTGTAAATCAGCTGGTCAGCTGTTGTACTGTTGTATTTGTCACTTCACATTAAATGTTATATTAAAAGTTCACTTCTGTGTAAAAATAGGTTATGTTTTTTCACCAATTTATTTGTTTTATGGTAACTGTAGGAAAAGTATAATGTGCAACTCGAGTTCAAAGTACAATTACCTTACTCGAGAAACCATTCCTCACTCACCTACGGCTCGTGAGTAAGGATTTCTCTCGAGTGAGTCAATTGCTCACTTTTCTCACTAGTTGCACAAATAACTATTTAGCCCCTAGGGAGTAAAAATTAGCTGTTGTTAACTCATTTGTAAATTTCAATTGTAAACAGAATTGCATGTATCGAAAGTATGTTTCGATTGTATAATCGATTGTAGTTAACTGTTGCCTTAGTGCAAATAGTTTGACATATTGATAGTATAATGTACAATAACACAATCGTAATAGACAAAACTATTGAATCACTTTTTAAACAGCTGCGTGTTACCGATACAGTACAAATAAAATTGTAAACTAGTTAGAAGTATTTTTGCGAGAATAAATGAAAACTATTTAAGTTTTTTAGCACAGTGTGTTCAAATAATGGTGCAATATGACGAAAAATATAGTTCAACACATGGGGAAAAAAGGGTACCTCGTCTTCGCCTCGATCGTAAAACTTGAGGTCGGGTCGAAAAGAGTCACTTTGACCCTAGTGATGAAATATACTATTTTGGTACCTAATCTTATTTCCAAACGAGGCACATTGCGTACCAAAAGGAGCTACGTTCACTCCTAGTGATGAAATATACTATATGTAAGTGTGTACTTACCATGTACCATCGAGAGAGCAAGACGCTTGGATCTCGTCCACCTTCTAGTTTAATGTCTTTATCTTTTTCACGTGGAATTGCATAGTAACACCAAGATGAAGTGGGGGATGGTCTACTTCCAATAATGATGTCACCGGAGCCTTTATCTTCGTCAGCAAGAAACATGTCATCTATTTTGTTGACCGATGCACAGTCCAAATCGATTTTAATTTCGTAACTGTTTATACTGAGGATAGCGTGTGGTTTCTTTAACGCGTTTTCATAACAGCTCAGTTGAAAAGGATTCGATCTTCCGTTGTAATATGTAGCTTTTACTCTACCGGTAGATATTCCTTCCAATCTAGATATGTCTCTTGCTGAAAAATATGTTAGATTAATGTATTTCAACTTAATGATCGAATACAAATAACTGATATGATTCTTAAATAACAGTGGAAAGTCCTACGTAAAGTACATTTAGCCAGTAAAAGAATGTTTGTCTTACATGAAATTGCTTCGTCAAAGCCTTTTCTGTTGAAGTGCATATTGGGGGGAGGGAGGGGGAGGGAGGCGGTTAAAATGCGTTTACGGGTATGTAAAGTGAGTGATTCAATGTATTCTCAGTAGTGCCGGAATCCCTTGCCGTCCCTGGGACGTCGACTACAGGCTAAAACCCCCCCATCTCGTAGGACCCTAGCCTGGAACTATTTAGCACAATAATTTGAGCCTTTTGAACCCTGCCATTATTACTTTCCTTCTTATTTTTTTCCGAAGGCTAAGGCCGATCGATATCGATCTTCTTAGCCGGAAGTATAGCCTCGATGAACATTTACACAGTTTCAGTATTACAGTTTCAGGTGCCCTCTCCATGGAGCACAGCTCCAACTAATATCGAGAGTAATGTCGAAGCCGATTTTCGAGATCAAATAGGCTCGGTGGACATGCCACCTATCACAAAAGAAGAAGGTTTGTTCGGCCGTGTCTGCAATGCTGAGACAGTACAGACAGTCTGAGCTAGCGGTTTTCCCTTATTCTGTGCAAAAAGGCCACGAAGTACCTGTGGCCCGACAAAAACTGGAACACAAAATACCCAACCTCACGATGCTCCCGTTCCACCCATGTTAAGAGGCTGGGAATGAGCCTGGTGGCCCAACGTCCCTAGTCTCGGCGTCCCATTCGCGTTGCCAGAGGTTGAAACTGCGGTCTCGTTCTTCTGTAGCTGTAATCTCTCTGCCTACTTCAGGTCTTCTGCGGTAGATCACCTGTCGCTCCTTTGAAAAATGGAAGTCGTTGATCGGAGCACTGCCAATCTCCATGACTGCAGGCTCAGAGACCGTGCGGTAGGTAAAAGCAACTCGCAAGGCCCCTCACAGCTAAACGTGGGAAATCCATTTACTGAAGACACGCCTCTCCAGCACATGGGCCCTGGCCTCAGCACCGTACAAGAGCACTGATTAGACAACAGCCATCTGTAGGTGATGTTTGTAGGAACAGGAACCGCCAGCGTTTGGCATTGGCATACTAAAGGCAGCGAATCCTCTTCTTGGTTAGGACCACGATCTCGGCCATTTCGACCACCATCTACAAGCTGTGGTCCTGCATCCATTCGTTGATATTGAGCATCACTACACACGGGTTTTAACTCTGCCTCTTTGACGTTGGTGACTGCAAACCGAGCAGTGACGTCATCAGCGTAGCCAAAGAGGAAGGCATTTCAAGTCTTAGCTGACACTCTTAAGACAGGTTCCAGAGATTGGGTCCCAGGATCGATCCCTGTGCAGCCCCAGAAGTGATAGATATCAAATGCTGACATTCAGTGATGTGATAAAACAAAACATGGTAGGAAGGTAGGACTCGAAGATTCGGGGGATGTAGAGAGGAATGCAGAACGTATGCTCGAGCGCGCGCAGCATAACAGAGGAGTTAAACGCGTTCCTCACGTCAAGAGTGACGAGGTACTACCACCTCCGCACTCTGAGTGGGTGGGCCTCCGCACTCTGCATTGCCTCAACTACCTCTGGATGGCACCAATCAAGTGACCGAAAGGAAACCCATGCTTCTGCGGGGAAAAATCACCCGCAGAGACGTTAGCCTCAGTCTGACACGAATTAGCTTCTCTATCACTTTGCCAGTGGTGTGACGCATAGACATTGAGAAGAAAGAAGAGAGGCCTTCTCCGGTGCACAATTCACCTTGGGAATCAAGACAAGGTAGACCACGGGAAAACCACGCTGACGGAAAATGCTGTTTGCCAAGCATCGTTGAACATATCCAAATGTATGTTTGCAACGTAATTAACGATGAGCTTGAGGATTTCCGCAGGAATGCCATAAGCCAGGTGCTCTACGATCTCTCAGTGATTGGACATTGGAGGAAAGTTCCTCTTCCCGAAAGGCTGGGAACACGCCCAAATCCCCGAATTTCCTTTAACTGGAATAATTTCATATTGTAAATAATAATTTTTATTGTTAAGAAATAAACATGTATCAAGAGTTGTGATCATATATTTTTTATTAATTTTCATTTAATACAGGGGATACTTCTAATCTAATGACATAGCCGCACGACTATTAAGATATTTTAAAAGTGGCAAAATATAATAATATAACCCTACGGAAACGAAGCATGAGGGAATGGCGAGAGAGTTAAGAGAGACACTGGTGAGTACAAGTTATTGGCTAAAGTAAGAATAATTTTAACAAAAACAAATTTGATTAAATAAACTTACTTATTGCCAGACCTAACATAAAGAATATACTGCCGTACTGTAGATAATATTTGTTCAAACTTACATTTTATTGCACGGCATTCTCTCTCCTGAAACATAGGTTTACATTAGATTGTCAAATGAAGTACACTCCGTTCTTAATAACGTAAAAACGTATTTGAAATTATCCACTTACTCCCTCTATACATAGTATATTATGGAAAAAGTATTGTTTTGTCAACATTTTCGAGAGTTTTAGGGGGATATATACGTTTTGGGTCGGTCCCTCTGAACCCGAAAAAGTGGTTTTGGAAGTAGTGTGTGTGTGTGTTCTGGTGTGTGTGTATGTGTGTAGTGTCTGTATGGGTGAATGGGTACAGAGCTACAAATCACACCTGTGGTACCCGATTTTGATTAAATTTTGTATGTAGGTAATAATCCGTAGTACCCCTTGTTGGTCTTATACTTTTTTGCATTTTTTTCTTTTTATGGTGATTTTCATATTAAAACCCATTACAGTATATACAGAACAAATTGGATTTTCAAACACGACCTACACGATTTTAATTCAAATGTAGTATGTAATATCGTCTTTTTAATTTCAAATAAAACAGCGCAACCCCCATTAATGTAAAAGTTACGGCTCAAAAGTTATGAAAACTTTTGTGAAATGCTCCATAAAATGTCATAGTTACTCCCACAGCTTAATCATGCAGGCTTGTTAACAAACTAATGAGAGAAAGTATATGTCAGACTTCTGACACCATTTCTTATTAGAGAATAATGTTTTTAATTTTATTGAGGAAAAATATTTATAACACTTAGAATAAGAGCAACGCAAATATGCTTCCAATAGTTTGAACATTCTTTAATCACAAAGCATTTTTAAGTAGTGCTTGTATTCATTATTAAAATATAGTTTTATTAGTTGTGTACATAGCATAAATGTTGTTAAATTTCTTAGAGGAACTGAATGTCGTCACATTTACTGTGATGTAAAAACGACTAACAAGGAATTAGGGTGTTAGGGGTTTCTTATGGTTATTTTCATAAAACTTAGCGATATAAAAAATGATAACTATTACAATATGGACAGCAGTATACTACAAAAATAGCAGTTAGAAATGCACGTGCTAAAGATTTTACACCATGACATGCTAAATGTATTTTCTAATTTCTAACTAAGATCCTAAAAAATTCATACTCCTAATCATTTGGCAATGGATAATCATCACTAACTTAAATTCAAAAACAATATCATTAAATCGTGTTATACCTTTTTCGTTTATTAAAACAATTTTTAAATTATTTTTGATATATTTGCAAATAAAAAAAATAACTATTATTATTTATAGATTTAAAAAAATCTTGTAATTGCAGCGCTGGTTGAAATGTATAAAAAAACACTAATATTTTACCTAAACGATATACTTTTACTATGGTCTATCAGATCACATATATCCACTTCAGCACGAATAGGATTGTAAGTTTATACAAAACTTAACTAAGTTATGTGAATCTTTTCTTCTAAAAAAACAAAAATAATTGAGTGTTATTTACCTCAATCCATTTAATAGACTCTCGGAGTTTGTCATAGTATTCCGGTGCGATGCCGTTGTAGACTTTGTAGACACACCAAGGATGTTCCAGTTTCAAAAGTCTGCCGTTTTGACGGGACTCCGGTAAGGTTGCATATACCCTCATCACATTCGGGTATGGATGTTCGAAAAGAAACATGGAATTCACATCCTTAGAATACGAACAATCTAATCCTTTAATAGATATTATAAATCGGTTTGATTGTCTTATGACCAATATATGTTCCTTTCCTTCACTTTTATAGCAATATATATTATAGCCATTTTGCTCACTGATGTATCTGGCGACTAGTTTATCTTTCTGTACTGCTAACTTGTTTTCTTCTACGTATATATCATCAGCTGAAACAGTATGATAACCGTTAGGTACTGACGAAGAGACAACACTCTGTGATAAGTTTCAAAGATTGTAAGACTGTTTTTTGTTCGAAGTGGAAATAGAGTTAACGTAATGCAAATATTACACACATACATAACAAGAAGCATCCTTAAATACAGGGTGTCCATAAAAAACGTATCAGAACATTGGGAAATGAATCATCATACTAAAAGGAAGAAAAAAGTTTATGTGAAGGTATGACCGAAAATGCATATTTACCCTGTTATCCGCCATTTTGTTTTTTATACAAAAATATTTTTATCTGTGAAGTTTTTCATTCGATGATTATGAAATTTGGTTACCATGTTAACATATACAAGACCTATTATAGAAAAAAATAATAAAGTTGTTCCGATTGTAAATTTCAAAATGGCGGCCGTTTGAATTCTTATAACTTAAATAACTCAAAAACGGCTAATTTTATGAAAAAATTTCAAGAATACTTTTGTTAGCATTTTAAATTCCCTATCAAACGGAACCAAGATCAAAAAGGTCGGACAAAAGACAACTGAAATAAAAGGTTTTTTAGCTGTAAGACAAGGCCAAAGGGTTCCCCAACTAACTTTGACTTTATTTTTACACAAAAAAACGTTATATTTCAGTTATCTTTAGTCCGATCTTTTTTATCTTGTTATTGTTTGATAGGGAATTGAAAGTGCTAAAAAAAGTATATTATAAAATTTTTTCATAAAATTGACCGTTTTCAAGCTATTTAAGTTATAAAAATTCAAACGGCCGCCATATAGAAATTTACAGTCGGAACAACTTGATTATTTTTTCTGTAATAGGTCTTGTGTATGTTAACATGGTTACTAAATTTCATAATCATCGAATGAAAAACTTCACAGAAAAAAATATTTTTGTATAAAAAACAATTTTTTTTAAAAGAGGTTGGCGGCCTCTTTTAACCTTGCATTTGCCCGTCCACATAGACTACAGATCTGTGCGTGGAACGCATCCAGCAAAGCAAGGGGTGAGCCGGAACAGTACAAAGGTGAACCGTACTGATAAAAGTTAGTGGCAGTGACCAGGATCCGAACCCACGACACTACTGACTTGGGCCCGAAGTCCGCGACGCTACCGACTGAGCCACCGACTCACCCGCGTGAAGTTGGCCCCACCATAATGAGCACAAATTATCAAAACATGTCCATAATTTAGTGCTGAATTTGTGCTTCTCAAAGGTATATATAAAAAAAAATGTGCTCAACAATAACACACCAAAAAATTATAAAAACTGTTGGCGGGGCTAACTTCACGTTCAGCCCGCCACCAAAAGAATTAACAATGTATCATACATAGGCCCGATTTCACCAAATTCTCGCTAACGATGGTTTAGTTAAACTTAGGTTAAAACTAACCGATGATTTAAACCACAGTTAAGGAAATCTGGTTTAACCAACGAAAACGCGTCAAAACTAACGCTGGTTTTATAAACGAGAGTTTAGAGTAAAATCCAGGTGGCAGTGGCAGTGAACTGTCATAATACCGGGCTGTTACGGGAGCAAGTAAACATAACCTAGAAAATAAATCAGTGTTTATGAGGTAGTGAAAACAAAACTGGAGATAGCAAGCTTACAGGAATACAATAGATTCTGAGCAAAATAACAACAGAAAGCAAGAATAAATACCAAAACAATTAACATAAGTAATTAAAGGCAAATCAATGTTGATCAAACACATTCGAGGAACAAATTGGTTGAGTTTTGCGGTCGAGTCAAGACTCACCAATCCAACTTTTTACAGGGATGTTCAATATTCTGTTTGTTCGCTAACCAGTTTGGTACATTTGAAGTAGTGTTAAAAACTGGAGTCAAAAGAATTACAAGAACGAGACACAATGTAGATAACACCAAAATAATTATTTTCTATAAAATACTAGCAGAATAATGACAATTTAGGTTTAGATTTTGGTTTACTTAATACCTTAATACCTGCTGCGACGTCGTTGACCAGAATTTCTGGATAGACTGTGTCATAAACTAAAAAATAATATTTACACTATTTACAATACTTTTGGCAAGATGGCGTTGAGCCTATACTCGATGGAACGCATCAAAATACTCGTCAACTGAGTACAGTGGTCGGTCGACTAGCCAGGCTTTAACTTTCTTTTTAAAAGTGGGCGGTTCACAAGACTTAAATCTTTGGGGGAGACTGTTGTACATCTTCAGAGCCCTGATGCGGAAAAAGCTTTGCGTTTTGGACAGCCTGCAGTAAGGTATGTGGAGCTGGTCTCTGTTACGAAGGGCGACGAAGGGGTCTCTGTTACGACAATTGTTTGAATGTTGGGTTAGGGTTACCCAAAGCCGGGAGAAGGAAAAGGGAGCCTATTTTTTCGAACAATGAAATAATAAATTTGATAATGTTGGTAGAAGAGCCGGGACACTCTTTTTAGCCGGGATAAAAGAGTACGGCTCTTGATCGCCAATCATTTCAATGCGGTCGCTGATCACAGATATACGCCTTAACTAAAAGCCTTGTGGGATAACCTAAAGCAATGCACTATGTGGGATAGCCTAAACACAAACCACTACAGTGGTTTGTATTCATTTCCTAAAGAAAAAGGCTAAACGTTTTGATAGTTCATATCTAATAATAAAATCAATTTCATCTTTGTTATTAAAATCATTAACCCTTTCTCTTATCCACCTAGTTAGGCGAACAACATAGGCTACTTTTCATTGCCATCACATCACTTACTTTCAAAAGCTAATTCGTACCGTATTCTCTTCTACCATTTCGCCTTTCCATATAAACTTTTAACTTACAACCAGCTGATATTTACTTAACGAAAGATTAAAGAAGTTAACCGGTCAAAATTGGGCAGTTAATTATCTAACGACGGTTTAGTCTAAACTAGCGCTAACGGCGAGTGGTGAAATCCGATTTCGTCAGTTAAGAGCTAACTGCAGTTAGAGCAAGGCTTAACGGCGGTTTAAAAGTTTGGTGAAATCGGGCCATAGAAATTTAGTGCTCATTTTGTGCTACAACAATATATGGTTTTTATAATTTGTGCTCTAAAAACAACCGAGTAAATGAGGAAAAACTGCCGCTGGTAATAACGTCATCCGCCCCGCCACATTGAACAAATCGGTTGAAAATGGTGTCACGATTTAGTGCTCATTTTGTGCTACAACGATATATAAGTTTTATAATTTGTGCTCTTAAAACACCCGAGTAAATGAGGAAAAACTGCTGCCGGTGATGACGTCATCTGCACCGCTACATTGAGCAAATTGTTGAAAATAGTCACTTAGAAATCTCTTATTGAACACCCTATATTTTTATCCCGTTTTCGGATAGAAAATGCAATTTAAAAACTATTTTATCCATAAATTTTTTCCGTAAACCCACTCGTTTAGGAGTTACAGCCTATGAAAAAGAGACTTCCGGTGTAAATTTAACTGTATGTAGCCCCTAAACAAGTAAGTTTAGAGCAAATGTGTGAGGATTAAATACATCTTAAAATTGCATCTACAATCCTAAAAAAACATAAAATACACAGTTTTCCACTTTCCAAGTTTGCTGCCATACTTTTTTATTCTTCACATTTTTGCTCTAAACGTACTCGTTTAGGGGCTACATGATATTAAAAGTACACAGGGAATTTTTTTTCATAGGCTGTAGCTCCTAAACGAGTGGGTTTACGGAAAAAATGTCAAGTACAAAATAGTTTTTAAATTGCATTTACTACCCGAAAACGTTATAAAATATAGGGCGTTCCATAAGAAATATCTAAGTTGGCCGCCATGTTGGAAAAATGGCGGCCATTTACAAACATGACGTTTACTTATTTTTCAACATCTTTAAAAACAAGAGAATGTTCCCGATTTTTTAAGTTTACTGTAAGATGTATCGTTTACAAGAATCTAATGGTGGCTAAAACACCCTATATACTGTATGAATTTAATCTAAAAGTGACTATTTTCAACCGATTTGCTCAATGTGGCGGGGCAGATGACGTCATCACCGGGGGCAGTTTTTCGGCATTTACTCAGGTGTTGTTAGAGCACAAATTATACAAATTGTATATTGTTGTGGCACAAAATGAGCACTAAATCGTGATACCATTTTCAACCGATTTGCTCAATGTGGCGGGGCGGATGACGTCATAACCGGCGGCAGTTTTTCCTCATTTACTCGGGTGTTTTAAGAGCACAAATTATAAAACTTATATATTGTTTTAGCACAAAATGAGCACTAAATCATGACACCATTTTCAACCGATTTGTTCAATGTGGTGGGGCGGATGACGTCATCACCAGCGGCAGTTTTTCCTCATTTACTCGGTTGTTTTTAGAGCACAAATTATAAAAACTATATATTGTTGTAGCACAAAATGAGCACTAAATTTCTATGTATAATACATTGTTAATTCTTTTGGTGGCGGGCTGAACGTGAAGTTAGCCCCACCAACAGTTTTTATAATTTTTTGGTGTGTTATTGTTGAGCAAAAATTTTTTTATAAATACCTTTGAGAAGCACAAATTCAGCACTAAATTATGGACATGTTTTTATAATTTGTGCTCATTATGGTGGGGCCAACTTCACGCGGGTCACCGACCCACCACATGGCGCATAACTGGGTAAATATACATTTTCGGACATACCTTCACATAAACTTTTTTCTTCCTTTTAGTATGAAGATTCATTTCCCAAAGTTCTGAAACGTTTTTTATGGACACCCTGTATAATTCTGTAAGACAACATTTTTATTACATTTATTTATACTGTCTGGTAAGTCACAGAAAAGTGGGAAAGGTCTTAAATTAAAGGTCTTGACTCCAGGGACTCGGGAATAATAGCAGAATTCCCAAAGAGTTACCAGAAAACGAGGTAAAACGTAAAATTGTCTCCATAAGAATAGCATTAAAAGCCATTTACTGCTGATTTTTGTTTACTTCAATACAGCTGATTGTGATCTATCATCAAGCCAGTACGCAATGTTAACATTTAAATT